TCAGTCTTCTGAACTGGTTCAGTGTTTACCTCATGGCAGTGGGGAGAGGTGGGCACATATCACTTAGAACATATTGTTCCATATGTGATACCTTTCATGGAAGGCTTCAATGCCCTTTGGCTAATGGGGAGGTAACATCATGCCTCTCATTCCAGTTGCTGAGCAGTTAAGTGATAGGGCCTAGGTCTAGTGAAATGCTGGTAGAATTGGGAATAGAACCCAGGTGTCCTGACTCCCAGTCCCCAGTCTTAACCTCATCATGCAAAAATCATCTCAAGGCTTTCAGCACCATCCATGAGCTGGCCCAAATCGTAATGGATAGCATCCAGTGAAAGTGATCCAGCCCCCTAACTGGGCATCTACTCTAAGCTGGGTGGTTAGAAGCACCTTTTATCTTTGCTCTCAGGACAGTACGTCTGAATGCACATGTGCTCTGGTTCCTCTATGTGCTGCTCCAGGCTGGGGAGAGAGAGAGCTGCACTCTGACGAGCCCCGGCTTCCCGAGGGGGACCAATGCTTACTCACCAATCTCCTCGTATCTCATCACTGTCCCCAAGTTGGCATTTTCATCTGGAAAAAGAGAAGAGCTTGACTACAAACATCCCATGAGCCTTGTGGCTTGGACTGCCTAAGAGGAGAGACTGCTCCTTAACTGTGTGTCAACAGCACCCCAGTGCTAAGAGGATGTTTGGTCGAACAGCCTATGCTTTCTTCTTAGCATAGTCTATCCTCATGTTTGCACTTGGCTGACCCTTGGCTGCCCTGTTTACTGCCATATGAGCATGGTATGACTGACCAGGTCAGGACTAAGGAAATGTAATGGATTTTCCCTAAACACAGTTTTTCAAATAAGGCTGGGCATATTTCTGTGGATATCATCCCTGTTACTGAACCCAGCGGGGAAATTGCTGGGTGAGGTTTTGTGGCCTGCATGGTGTGGGAGGTCAGAGTACCTAGCTGTCTGGCTTTCATGCCTGTGCATCCAAAGTCCCTTTAGATTTTCCTTTCATGTTTGGAGATGGTGTGCCCGAGGACTTGTATGTGGGACATGGATTCTCCCCCTTTTTGGATTACTCTGAATCTAGATAAACTCAAGAAAGAGCAAGGCAATAGTTGTTGCTATGCCTTTTCACCCTGTGTT